TTTCAACTATATGTCTTTCTAGATTTATTAAACTCGCTATATGTCACTTTCACATAAAGAGAAGCAAAATCACGAAACCATATAGCATATTATGGCATTTGGAAAGTCAATAACGTGACACCATCATTATCCAATTATTCAAATTTACCGACACAAAAACTTCCCTATAAATACACACACAAACCTTTCTTCTTCCTCAATCCATCATCATTTTCATCTTCATCATCTCCAATGGCGTCTTCTCCGATCATCTTCTCCGTTCTTCTTCTCTTCGTCTTCTCACTCTCTTCATCAACCTCATCTGCTCAACCATCATTCCGACCAAAAGCTCTCATTCTCCCAATCACAAAAGACCAATCCACCCTCCAATACACAACCGTCATCAACCAACGCACACCTCTCGTCGCCGCTTCCGTCGTCTTCGATCTCGGTGGTCGAAATCTTTGGGTCGACTGCGACAAAAATTACGTCTCCTCCACTTACACCTCCCCTCGCTGCCGCTCCGCCGTGTGCTCACGCGCCGGCTCCGATGGTTGTAGCCAATGTTTCTCTCCTCCGAGACCTGGCTGTAACAACAACACTTGCAGCGCAACTCCAGACAACACCGTCACCAGAACCGCAACTTCCGGCGAAGTTGCTACAGACGTTGTGTCGATCCAGTCAACTAACGGGTCGAATCCGGGTCGGGTCGTTAAAATCCCCAATTTGATTTTCGTTTGCGGGTCAACGAATCTCCTTCAAGGACTCGTTAGTGGAACCGTCGGTATGGCCGGAATGGGACGACACGAAATCGGATTACCGTCGCAATTCGCCGCCGCGTTTAGCTTCAATCGGAAATTCGCCGTGTGTTTATCTTCTGGAGGAAGAGGCGTTGCTTTTTACGGCAACGGACCTTACGTTTTCCTCCCCGGAATTCAGATCTCGGGACTCACCACCACACCGTTGCTCATCAATCCGGTGAGTACTGCTTCTGCGTTTCTATCAGGCGAGAAATCGTCGGAGTATTTCATCGGCGTGACGGCGATCAAAATCGACGAGAAAACAGTTCCGATCAACACGACGCTATTGAAAATCGACGGTGCTACCGGAATCGGAGGAACCAAAATCAGTACTGTGAATCCTTACACGGTGATGGAGACATCGATCTTCAACGCGTTCACATCGGCGTTCGTCAGAGAAGCCGCCGCGAGAAACATCACTCGAGTTTCGTCGGTAACACCGTTCGGCGCGTGTTTCAGCACGGCGAACGTCGGCGTCACGCGCTTGGGATACGCTGTGCCGGAGATTCAGCTCGTGCTTCAGAGTAACGACGTCGTTTGGAGGATCACCGGATCTAACTCGATGGTAAGTGTCAGCGATGACGTCATCTGTTTGGGTTTCGTTGACGGAGGAGTCAACGCGAGAACCTCTGTGGTAATCGGAGGGTTTCAATTGGAAGATAATTTGGTCGAGTTTGATTTGGCGAGTAACAGATTTGGGTTTAGTTCTACGTTATTGGGCCGTCGCACTACTTGTGCTAATTTCAATTTCACTTCCACTGCCTGATTAAATTAAAATGTTTTCAGAGGCTGTTA